CGGAGTACCCGTCTTCAGCCACGTATCATACTTCGAACCACGAAACAGTGGACCATAGGTTTTTACATTCCGAGGTGAACCTTACCGGACTATCAGTCTTCGTAAGCTGCTGTGGATTTTCCTCACTGAGAACGCCTGTCAAAGTCCAGAGCGACAATGCGGACAGCTGTCCAAGTCCGTACATTTCACCCTGATAAGAGAATTTCAGTAAGCTGAATGATCGATACAATTATACTAATAAGGAGAACCATAGATAAAACCATAAAAAATATCTCGATGAGAATCACCTTATCGTTGAGCCTTTCGATATTTCTGCGATATGCCTGCGGTGGTTCAAGATCACCAGTTAATCTTGCTTTCAGCTTACATAGTATCTGCATGGATCTGAGAATATGAATGATCAAAAGCTGGAATAAAAAATTAAAAAATATCCTACTTTCTGAGGTGTGAGGCGCATTTATTCGCAAAGTCATCGAAACGCAACAACACACGCGGCTAGATTCGAGAGACAGAAAAAGCGTTTTTGCCTTCTTTGCATTTTGCCTTTTTATTTGTGTTCAAGCACTGCTTACTCAAAGGCAGTGGGCACGATTTCTGCGGGCGGGCGCTTGCCGCCAGCGTCATTGGTGGAGGGGTGGTGTGGTCCAACGCCCTATCGCAGCCCTTCCACCAATGACGCTAGCAACGACTGTCCGCCTATTGCAGTTCCCACTGTTTTTAGTGATATTACCTGATTATATCATCGATAGTGATAGAACTTCCAATAATCTGTGGTAAGGACATGAACCGATCTACTGGCATAACCATTTGCAATTTCAGGAGAGTAGCTGTTCACAAGACTAGTCGTAATGTAAAAATAAATGTGCAACCAAAAAACGCTTTTTCTCCCGCACGGCTCATAGACGGGTTGAAGGCGAAGGGCGCTCCGAAGAAGGGTGCGCCTTATATCCCAGAAAAGAGGGTAACAGAGCATTATATTATTACTATGGCAGTACAATGGCAAAACATCAATGACCAAAAGATCAGATCGGGTCCTTGAACAGGTGCCCATTCCACGTAATTTCCTCCAGGGCACGTCCTGCTGTTGAAAAAAATTCCTCAGAAGTACGACCTCCGTTCCTCTCAAAAGTTCCTCCTCTGGTGCGGTATGAGTTTCCGGCCCAGTCTCCCCTCCCCCCCCCCAAAAAAAATGCCGACGAGCGAGGGTTACACGAGCAAAGCAGGAAAAGCCAAGGAAAGTCATCAGCCAGAGCATTTCATTTTTCTCAGAAGCAAAGCGATCTTCCCCTGGGAGTCTCCATCGTACGACGCACCCTGATTTCCTCCATTTCTCTGGTTTTTCAAGAAAAAAAAGGAGTTGCCATTTTGTATCTTTTTTTCAGCCTGTGTCAATTTACAGATAACGTTGTTTACAAAATGTTCGTTACTATGACCAAGCGATGACGTTTAAAAAAGAAGCAAAAACAGATTTCCCTCACTTCGATTGATAGAAAGGATCGTTCCGCTCGCGATGTTTGATTACAAAACGGCCAATGGGCGGATTACCAGGTTCCGGATATAAAAGACTATATAGCAATATATCTGTGAGCACTGATACAGCAACGCTACTTGACAGTATTTGTTCAGAAAGATTCTGCAATAAGTAAATATTACTCGTTGGAGCAGTTCTCGACAGATGACTACACTTACAGGTGAGGTACTTGAGGTCAATTCAGTTCCCGTTGGCGTCGATGAAAGCACACCGAAAAGTGACATCCAAAAATCTTCAAACTGTTGACGGGAAATCCAGCCAAGCCTTAGAAACAATATTTCAATTAGAAATTCATAAAGCTGACTGAAGTATCAAATTTTATCCACGTACTTTATACTCGAGATAATTTTCTATCCGTACTCACACACCTATAGCTTCCAGAGTACAGTTATGTTCACGAGCGAACGCCTGGAGAGTCTATGGAGGCTGCTTTGACGAGGTACCACCTTTCTCAACACAACTGTGGAAGCAGGCAGGCGAATACAGTTGTTGGGGATGCCCGCGCTGCGCAAAACCCAGCCCCCCGAAACCGCTTCGCAACCGCAGAAAGGAAGAATGTACTTTCCAACAAGCCTAAACTCACACAACTTTGCACGAGTAATTCCAATCCCCCCCTCCCGCGATTGGAAGTCCTGAGTAGTACAGTACGGAAACAAGAATTTTTGCGCAAGTTGACCTGCTGTGAAAGAAATGATAGGAGAATCTGTTGGAAGCTTTCTGATGAGTGACGCAGGAGTGATAAAGGAAGAGACACTGAGCGCGCGGGCGAGAGGCTAGATCACTGCAAAGGATAGAGCAGATGGAAGAGTTGCACAAGCAAGGAGGGCGGACAGACAGAAGAAGTGTGAGAAAACCAGACGTATGCCCCCAGCGTGCTCACCACGCACTATAGAGTGGCGAAGTGGTAAACGTTCTGCGAGTGCGGATCTGTTCGTTGCACTCCGGACGAGGAGAGACGGTAAAAGAGATCGTATTAGCCGCACGCCCCACGCGCGGCGATGGTGGCGGCGTTTTCATAACTCGTTTTAACCTGTCGAATGAAGCACCGGACTTCATGTAGACCCCGTCATCGTAGACACTCATTACTGTTTTCGGTCCTTAATTGCATGTTGTCGCCATCTACTGCCTGAAACCATCGTCCTTTGCGGGCGGGACGTCGCACGCGACGCCCAGCAGCGCGACAATTATACTGACCCTCCTGTACAGTACCTTCCGAACGAGTGGGCGTGTCAAAGGAGGCATGGATTGGCGTTGCCCTTAAAATCAAATCATCTCCAACTGCTCTCAAAGGGTAAGGCGAATCAGCGTGGATTAAGATGGCTTCGTGCCACCCAACTCCTCCTTCCAGACACCGCCCATCATCCGAAGTGAATCAGGCGTGTAAACGCGGATAGTAAACTCAGCATAAGAGGTAAATTGCAAACCATCATGTCTTAATAATCCTACAAATTCCCGTCGGCGGGGCACGATCGAGCCATTTCTATGCGCGTAGCTCACCCCCATGCTTCCAGAGTACAGTCTGGTTACAGCGAACGCTGGAGAGTTATGGAGGCTGCTTATGACGAGGTACCCAGCTTTCTCACCAACTGTGAAGAAGGCAGGCGAATACAGTTGGTTGGGGATGCCGCGCTGGCGCAACCACAGCCCGCGCCAAAGAACCGCTTGGCAACCACAGAAATGGAGATGTAGCTTTCCCAACAGCTAAAGTTACACAACTTTGACAACGAGTAAATTCTAATCCCCTCTCGCGCGTTGAAGTCTGAGATACAGTATGAACAAGTTTGTCGCCTTAAGCGTGACTCTGCCTGGTGAAAGAAAATGATGGAGGATCTGTTTGGAGAGCGTTTCTGAAGGTGTTACGCCAGGAGTGGATAATAGGAGTAGACACTGAGGCGCGCGGGCGAGAGGCTAGATCACTGCAAAGAGATAGAGCAGATGGAAGAGTTGCACAAGCAAGGAGGGCGGACAGACAGAAGAAGTGTGAGAAAACCAGACGTATGCCCCCAGCGTGCTCACCACGCACTATAGAGTGGCGAAGTGGTAAACGTTCTGCGAGTGCGGATGTGTTCGTTCACTCCGGACGAGGAGAGACGGTAAAGAGGATCGTAATCCGCCGCACTGCCACGCGCGGCGATGAGCGCGGCGTTTCATAACTCGTTTTAACCTGTCGAATGAAGCACCGGACTTCATGTAGACCCCGTCATCGTAGACACTCATTACTGTTTTCGGTCCTTAATTGCATGTTGTCGCCATCTACTGCCTGAAACCATCGTCCTTTGCGGGAGGGACGTCGCACGCGACGCCCAGCAGCGCGGCAAATTACGATCTTCTTGTCACAGTACCCCCCGAACGAGTGGGCGTGTCAAGGAGGGCTGGATTTGGCGTGCACTGTTAAATCATTCTCCAACTGCTCTCAGAGGGGTAAGCGAATCAGCTGGATTAACGAGTGGGCTTCGTGCCAACGCCAACTCCATCCTTCAGACACGCGCCCATCATCCGTCAGTGAACAAGCCGTGTAAACGCGGAAAGTACTCAGCATAACAGGTATTGCAAAATATGTCTTAATAATTCCTACCAGTTCACTCGCCACACAAAATCATTTAGAATATTCAAATTGCACAATAGATGAATGTTGACAAGTGGAACATGGACCGCGTTTTCCCGTATTTCAATTCGAAGTTTCCAGTTCATCCTGAAACGAAGAAATCTGGAATAAAAAATTCCATGAAATTTCAATGCAACGTACTTGAGAGCTGCAAAAGGAACAATAGCAAATCTATGCAGGACTGGATGCCGGAAAAGCGCTGTAAATGAAATAGGATACTTCAAAATCACTTTATTATTATAAACAGCTAACCTCTGGTCAGCTTCTCAAGATGACCCAGGTAATGATCACTAGGGGGCGTATGAGATCGATAAATATGACAAATATTATGCAAGTCATTGAACAACGTAAATATAAACCCTGAAACAGCCCGCAGTAAATGCAACATATACTCCTACTGTTTAGAAAACCTATTTTTTTACCGTCCAATCCACCAAAATCTTCAAAATCTTGAGAAAGCACAGCTTCAGAGGTAGTCGTAACACTAATTTTATCCGTTGCTGAGATATGGTCAAACCTTGCAGGATTCCCCTGTGAGCAACATTTTAGAAACGACAAATATTTACCAAACATGAACCACTTACTCTGTCCAATAACTTCAGAATACTAACGAGGAGCTTGTGGATACTTTGGATGCCGAACAATATATCACGGGCAAACATCTCCTTCGTAGATGAATGTCTCATCATGAATGCTATCCCTTCACAAGTCGCTCCCATACTGCACGACGGCAGTGTCTGAAAGCAAGAATAATATGATTACAGTAGAAACACTGTGAAACAGAAACACTCAGCATTCTTGTGGTAACATTTGGAACGCGAACTGCGGCGTTAAACAGCAGTTATCATAACAAAGTAGAAACACTTATTTTATACCAGTCGCCTCGCCGGCTGACGCCGGCGCGGCTCCTTCTGATACGGCCCGGCTGCGCCGGGCGGGCGCGGCTTCGCCGCGCGTACTTTCTTTCACATATTTCTAGACTCAC